TGCGTAACCCGAACAAAATTCGTCCAGTATTGCTCAAATGATCCATTGTTAATCCATTCTCAATTATCAGAGTACTTCATTCAGTAGGTATCTTCCATCCAATACTCTCATACTCAACGCTGTTCTACAGAGCGCTGAAGACACCGTAAAGTTTGTTTTTTCCTAGAATCTGCGCTCATTTTCTGCTCTAAAAACATCCACTCGGTGTCTAGAGGAGCTTGGCACATAGTGAATAGAGACTGGAATCAGCGTTTAATGGTCTTCCAAGCGGTATAGTGTTCATTTGAAAAGCCGACCTCAGCTAAACGGATCTCCCTTGTTAGACGCTGTCTTTAACCACCGTTGAAAGCTCTTCAATTTGACGCCAACCTATCGCGGAACGAGCAAGCGTGGAAGACTTAGCTCGCTTATAAAGACGAGCGTAATAATGGGCCTCTCATAAAAAACAAAGACAAAAACTAAAGGATTACATTAGTGCCTGCTCGGTTACTTTCATCCACAGCCATCATATGCATGCATAGAAACGATCAAATGAAGAGGGAAGCCAAAAATGGCGTTCCCGAAACTGCGTACGCGACGCATGCGGATATACGTTATCTAACGAAATCAAGAAAAAGTCATTGGCTGATAAGGACATGGAGAAGTCCAATATCATGTTGGCGTACTATTAGTGACCAACCATTTTTTGGAGCATGGTCCTATTGACGGAACGAGAAACTTCTGCAGAGTCCTTCAAAAACGTGCAGAACGAGGCCACATCGACGTTACAGGGGATTAGCAGGCGGCCATCCAAACCGACAGCAAGCTCATCGTACGATGTCACCACCTAAAAAGAGTGCTAGTCCTAAAATATGCAGAAAGAGGAAATGGGTTTGATTACCTCGATCATGGTTCCCTTCCCATGTTTGGCCAAATCTGCTAGAAGGTCTTCCCTGCTTCGCACCCTGTAGCGTCATGGTAGTAAATGAAGTATGACTTCCTACCGATGCATTACTTTACCTCACACTAAGACTCTGAATCTGCTGAAGAGTCTGAGCAAGACCTTTGTGATGAGGAACGATAACAACAGCACCTCCAAGTAGCTGTCGAAGATCGGCGGCCGCATCTCGTAGCTGAGGCAGTTGGGAACGGCGGACAGGTGTTTCCAAGCAGATCTAGACTGGACTGTACTGAGAGTGAAAAATGAACGCGGAAGCCAAAGATTTTGAACATGCTCCAAGTTTTGCGCGAAACTGTTGAGACATTAACGATCGTGTGCATATATGCCTATGCCCTTCCTGCTCCCGTTCAACATTTTCACGCATAAGCATGTGCACGCTAATTTCTCAGGTGTAAACGAAAAGTTCTGCGATAACTTCTATGCAGTAATACTACAGGTGGTCTAATTGTCATATAAAACAGGGCATCGCGGCATTGGGTTTCAGTCCATTTTTGGTGTATTCTGAGATGCCGAAAATCCTGTATAACTTTCTGAGCGCAAAGAAGGGATGAATCAGGGAAACCTAGTACCAGAACGCATCTCTTGAAGGGAGATTCGCCAGCCACCGCATGATTTATTGTATGGGAAAGCGATGCAAAAATCTTCATATGTGTAACCGATAAGACCCTCTTACATACAGGTATTTCAAGGAAATACAAGTTTCATAAATAAGCGCCAAAAAAAAACTCCTACATGTGATTT